AGAATCGAGACTAGTTTGCAGTGATGCAAGACAGAAAGCAGTGGTGGCAGGGAAATCAGAAGTTTCAGAGTAGCAGCCCAGGGAAATCAGAGTGATTCCTGATTTGCACTCACCTACCCCCAGCATGTTTGCTCCCATGGCTGCAGTGGGCCAGCCCTTAGAAGCCAGACACCTCTCCCCCTGCTCCCACAGCTACCCATACTGTAACAGGCTGACAGTATAGCTCATGGCTTTGAAAATACATGTGGCCCATCCCCAGAGAGCAGCCAGTGGTCACCCGCATGTAGCCTTCTGACCAGGTCATTTGAGGAGGGGGGGAAAAGAAAATTAAAAAAATCCAGCAAATAAAAATAGCAAACAAAAAAATCATACACCGAAATCACAAAGAGAAAGAGAATGAAAAGGAGAAAAGGCTGCAACTGTGAGTGAAACACAAGGGCATCTCTTTTAAAACTGACTTCAGTGGCATTCAAACTATGGCCAATAGGGACTGCTGCTGCTGCTACCATCCTTTAAGGATGCAGGGTAAACCTGTGTCTTATAAATATTGTACCTTTATATGTTATATATTTCTCCTTGATGGTCACCCCACCCAATCCTGCAGCTCTCTTAGCTCAGTTGAAGTCAGTGGAGGTATAACATTGTACACCGGCTGAGAATCTTGCCCTTCGTGTTTACAAGGGGGATAGTGTCATCCAGTAGCAAAATTAAAAGTAATGAAGCTTTTCTTTATTATTCAGTTCTCTTTTTTGTGTGTGTAGGGAGAGGCCAGCTGCAATCCCTATAGAAATCAAAAGTATCGATGACACTTCCAATTTCGATGAATTTCCTGAATCTGATATTTTACAGCCAGGTGAGACCTTGTAAATTGCAGTCTTATCTAACACATCCCAAAATATAACCATAAATTTTATTTCCATTATATTCATTTTTCCAGTATCTTGATCCAACTACTTCAGACCTGCACTGTATTTGGATTATCTGGGAACTTTGTTAGTGAATTGCATTTAAATAAATAAATAAAAAAATCTGTGAGCTACCCCTTCCTTAATCCTCTTTCTCGGGGTGTGTGAAAATATAGCTTTTAATATTGATTTAATCTAGGAGGAAAAGTGTGTGTGTGTGTGTGTGTGTGTGTGTGCGCGCGAAGGTGTGTTGCCTTAATGGTAAGCAGTTACAGGATTTCACCATATAGACAATATTGCCACATTTTTGGTAAAATGTATTGCACTAATTGGTTTCAGATGTTTGGTAACATTGAAATTTAAGCCAGATGCAAATGTTATGTTCTTTGTGGGCAAAATTTCAAAAGCATCTAAATGATTGACAAGCAGCAGTACTAAGGTTAAACACTTAGGCTTGGTCTACACTACCCCCCTAATTC